TAGCTCTGAGACCACCATTCAATCTTATAATTATTTTGTATAAGGAGCCTCAGTCGTTAGATTCATCATACTGATCGAACTTAGTCAACCTAGATCGCTTAAGATGATTTGAGGACTGAAAGTTGGGGCAAGTTCGAAACTGCAGTCGAGCCTAGGTTTGAGAAGCTTCTTGAGGCAAGGTCAAGTGAAATTCAATGACATCATGAAGCCTATTCATGTAATCGTAGGAGAACTCCCTAATCACTCCTCAAATTAACTTTACCGATCTAATTCTTATTCACGAATTACAGCTAACCTAAATATTCACTCTCCGAATTAGTCATTGTCTCTTCGCCCAAATGCAAGCGGATCCACAGATTAAGGCATACCTTCTCTCCACATTGGACTTCTTATATGCTATTGCTTCACTTCCATACATTTTAGTTGACCTAAGTGAGACTTATGCAGACCAGATCGCGGTCACTCTTCATCACTCGTCCCACTTCGATGCGCTCCATAGTCCCAAAACTGATGCTCCTACAGACTTTCCTTTGCCTTCCTTCGCTTTGGACTCCGCCTCCACACCCGTGGCCCACTGCACATGGCGTCGGTTCACTTCAACAGCTCGAGCAGTTGAAGGTCTTCGGCAACCCAGCCTCGTCGTGTGGTCTCTTGACGGAGGCACTGATCTTGGGGAGGCTGCAGCTGTCCAGAACTCGGAACTTCCCTACTGTCTGGTGGAGACGGGCCCGAAAGTTGACACTCCTGAATGCGTATCTCTGGACTCGGATCACTCTTCCTGGCAGCTACAGCTGCTTCCCATTACTCCAACCCCTTCCAACCAGTCAAATGAGCATAAATCCCGACCCAGACTCGAGTGCAACCTGAAAGCTGCCTTGTCGGCTCTACCCAACAGGGTTTACGCACAAATGCTCGAATGGGCCGCACATAAGTCAGCCACAAATAAGGCCTCTCTGGTTGGCGGCGAGGGTTACAACTCTCCGGTGCCTCATTCCAACGCGGAAAATACCCGAGTGTCAGGTTTCGTTATCATCTTTACAGCCGCAATTCCAGGGCTCATCACTTTGAAACTCTGTGTGGAAGGATTAGCTTTGCCAAGTATCTAGTGCAAATTGTTGAGCAAGCTTTCACATTATGTGCTTTTATTTACTACTTTTTATACAATCGTGTGGCTTTGTTATTTTCATTTAGCTGCTTACTCCTGTCCTGGATTTATCAGCAACAAGACTTTGAGACAGAGCTCTGGGCCTTCTCTATGAGAAAGGCTGTTTAAAATGACCATTGTCCAAATATGACGCTGAATTGCCTGTGGTAACAGACGCTTAAGGTTAAGACTATCAATTCATCTGATACTGGTTTTGTACTGAGCTGATGGCGAATCTGCTTACAGTGAATCTGCATGTCACTATTTTTCTAGGCGTCTCTAATGGTCATATTTATCTGGGCCAGGCAGCAGTCTCAACCTCACGTCATCTCATAAGTGGATTTCGAAACGTGTACTTACAGGCTAACAAAACTTTAATGAGAAATTAAATGCTACTAACTACTAACTCGGTAGTATGTCTAGTTTAGTAGCAATCACGCGATTCCCTATGATACAAAATCCGATTAGAGAGGATTGAGCTAAGGTAGGTTCGAGACCAAATACTGGCTTGTAGGGTAACGCATTTTTTCCTCGGAAACCCTACACGCACTTTCGAGTCACGCTTTGGGGCTAATGAAAGTTGTGGACAAAATCGCCAATATGAAACCCTTCGAAACTGGAATTTCCCCATGTGGATATATATTTATTTATTTATTTATTTATTTATATATATACATTTATGTATGCATGCATGTATGTGTATTTGTAGGTATGTATGCATGTATGTATGTACGTTTGTTGTATATATACAGACGTATAAACCTATGTGTCCACATATGTGCCCGACACTGTGGCGCTAATAGGGCCACTAATCTCAACAACCTATTTGGCATTGTAACTGGAATGTCCTTGTAGACAACGGCTCAACCCACTGAAGGCATATTTTACTCTCGTTATAAAAGTGATCCCCAGTGCCATTTCACCTCGTATTGCAGAGGGGCAATTGCTGCAATGCTAATTGTGATCTAGACTGCCATTGAACTTAGCAACTTTACCACGTTTGAAGATATGAAGACCAAGATGTTGTGGCCTCTAGTATGGTCGCAGTCTCCTTTCGATTTATAAAAGTCGGTTGACCTCCTTGTCGCAACTTGGTCTTGTTGTCAGGGAGACTATGTAGAACGCACCTATTCCGAAGTCGTC